CAGGTGCTTTATTATCTACACGGCTAGTATAAATACATATTCAAGTGTTTATGTACCGATACGACATCATAAATCTACTTGTAAAATATAACATCAACGAAAGTGTAGTAATTACCTTTTAATTAGCATAATTAATCGTATATATAAAACCTGTATGCCTAAATATGGAGTAAAAAGAGGTTTCATGTGATGGAGATCGGGGATGCTCGAGATTCACCTAACCGAATTAGCTGTATCCATGTCATTACACTCGCGTGACCTGTAAATGCCGTATACTGAGATGAACCGGGATTCGAACCCGGGTTCTCTGATTCATCAACATTGAATTGTCTCTCCAGTTGTATTGATAAAGAAATGATAGAATATTTACAAAGTGTGTTATGAATATAAATTTCCATTTTTTAGTCTGTCAACAACTTTTTGATTTAAGAACGAAATATTTAATGCGTTATTTAAGAATTTCCCATAGTGTATGTAAGCTCATTCTGTGTCGAAGTGCACTAAATATTACGATATAAAATGTGATTTTGGAAGCTGATCTAACATTAAGCTTGCGAGTGCTCATTCGCCTATGCCCGTTATTTGCATTATGTAACCTGTATAGAGCATATTAAAAAAAATAACTGATGAAGTTTGATGTGATTAAAGCGCTTGAACTGTCAGAAGGTTACACCGAAAAATTCTATCACTAAAATGGTAATTTAATAACAATTTTCACATTCAATATCATGTTATTGATATATGATATACAAAATAAACATAATTAATAAAAAAAAAACCTGAATATCAGTAACAACAGAATAAATGTGAATATTGACATTAAGTTATCATTTTATGACATAAATTTTCGGTCTTTCAGACAGCTATTTACAACACTGACTCCGTTTATCAAGTAAAAGCGATAAAGACAATGAAATAACGATGTCAATGTATTCAAATAGTGACTTTAATCAGTATCCAACTATCATAGCGACGGACGCTTCATCTTTTGGAGCTACTTTGTCACTCCATAAAGTTCGTCTCGCTACTACATTTGAATGGAATCGTGAAATTTTATCGCGAGTGAGAGAGCATGACGTCTGAATCCGTATCAGGACGCCAAAGCACCATTGACGATGTCAACTCATTGATAGTGCAGCCTTTTAACAGTTTTAAAAACGTTCACGAGCTATTAAGAATACTGGTATTTTCACAAGAAAATGGTTCAGCTAGGTTGCCAACAAATATTAATTGAAGTTACACATTCATGATTCAAAGTACATGCATAAAAAGAATGACTTCTGTATCAAATTTGTTTAACAATTGTTCTTTGTAATTAGGTTTTAATGATAATCTCAAACCTTTACAACCTGTGGCAATTCAATATAATACCAAACATTCAGATCAACTCACAGGGACCTGCTAAGATTTCCTAACAATACGGTTAATACTTACGTGTTAATGTATTACTAACCATGGGATAAGGAATTTGTGTCAAGCCCCTGTGTGTGAACTAGATAACACAGACGCACCGGATTGTTCCACTAATCGTGATTATCATTTCGTGATAACATCAGAAAGAATTCGTCCAGAAACAATAACGAGTTGTATCAAACATTTAACTAACCACGCGCCATTGTTGTAATCTATGTTAAACGTAGTTTTAACGAACAATCACCATTGTGTTACAATGTGTAGACACCTTGTAGTACAACGATGGTCATGTTCCATTAAAAAAAAATAAAATAAAAGCTGACCGATAATATTTTACATGATTAGGTAAAGAAGATAATTAGAGACAATTTCATGTATTTATTAAATGGATAATTTCGTTTGATAAGTGTATTTTTAACATAAAAACCAGATAATTGAATATCATAAACAGGCATTTAATAATCAAAGTTGAAAAATAGTATTATTGTGACAACTCATGGGGGAAATTATTTTTTGTTTACAAAGCCTCCTTAAAGCAACTGGCTACCTCGATGAACAACATACGGAAGGCCGTCGCCTGTTGCCTAAAGAGTGAATTCTCTTGCGCAAGGACACAACCACTTCACTAACAAGTCAAAGATAAATTGATTTATCGATTTAATTCATGTTTATTTACCTTTATAAAACGATTGACCAGAAATACCAAACTAATATATTTACATTACAATATTTCTATTAATGATGGTAGTGTCCATAAATGCATTATATTCATTGTCTTAGCCGGTAGTGTTTATCAATGTTTGATATTCTAAATTCAGAAAGTGTTGTATACTTAGGCAATTAGTGAAAGTCAACCCCCTACCCCACCCCCACCCCCACCCCCACCCCCTCTCCCATTTGTGGACTGCTAAATTGTTGACATTTTGTCTCTGCTGTCAATATTGTTCAATCTTCCAGATTCCATCTTAAATGATTATTAATCTAAAGTTTCCAAATTTTTTATCTATCTTCGTCACTTAAAATCACCGCACCATTTCTGTATCAACGTGCCTAATATATTACGTTATTAAATACTGGACAGTATCGAGTAGAAAACATTATGTCTCGTCACGCATTCTTGTCACCTTTAACACGGAGGACTAAAGTTATAACGGATAAACACATGAATAAGGACTTTTCTAGCTTTAAAGATCACGACTTTCTAACCGAGGAATATTCGAAAACACGATCAGTTCATTTTTTAATATATAATGTGAGTAAACCAGCTGATTTTTAATTAATTCCTGTCGACATAACCCTGCGACTTACTTTAAGCTACAGTCAAGGTAATTGCCGATAGTTACCTCAATGAATATCATGCGGAAGGCACCACGTATTTATGCCCAAAGTCACAAGTTCGGCCGTCGTCAACACGAGGCTGTCCAAAGATCTTTGCTTCCTTTGAATAGTAAAATTCACCTTTAGTAAAGACCATATTCAACTACCTGTCTTTAAACGTCCATGGTTTGGACCACTAAGTAATGTCGTGTATTAAAATGAACATCGTTATACAATGTAATACAACTTTTTTTTACATCTTTTGATAGACTTATTACACAGATTTGACAGAATTAATCAATAAAGGACCGCGGGTAGCTTTACCGAGTTCCATGTAGTGTCTAGTAATATTTTCTGAAGGATGAGCTCGTATAACAGTATGTCGTGCGGTCCTCATGCCCCTGTGTTCTCGTTATTTCCGGACTGTTAAATATGGTAACACTACTTAATATTATCATCCCGTGTGAAACATGCATTGTGAACTACCTGTAGAAAAGAAATTATCATAACTTATCTCGGCGAAGGGGCCTAAACTGTGAGGACACTATGTTACCTACGGTTAATATAACAGCTAGGAAACGAACATCGAGGTCCAAGGAGAAATTTAACAACCGCGTGTTACCTTGATAATGACCTTCTCGTAGGTATAAAAATATATGCTGGCACACCGCTTTGCTCGTCACAATTGATTTTCATTCATTCGCCTGTAATTTACAACTCCTCTAAAGCACTCAACACAATGCACGATACACTGCCTCACTGTCTGTGTTGCAGTAAGCCCGTATATCATGAAACACCAAAAATTGTAAGGAAATATAAATGTCATTTTTTTTTTACTATGAATTAACAAAATGTTAAACGAGTCGGAAAAAAAAACAATTATAAGTAGACAAACAACAAAGGGAAATACCACAGGCACACTCTACAGTAAACAAAAAAATAAACAAAGCCACTCATACAACACAACTAAGTAAGGAAAACCGGTTTCAAAAGATAATGAATCCCCAAAGCGCCAACTATCAGTTGCAATTTTGCCTGTAGGTGACGAGCGGTGCAATGTGCCTGTCGCCTAGGGGCTGTACCGCTCGACATCTCTGACATGCCCTGGGGTTGATACGGACGGAATAAAATATACCAGTCGTTGTCGAATATGAATAGCAAGGTCAAAAATAAAACAGCTGAATATTTATTGGGGCTATGTGCCACAGCCACAGCGGGCCACATCCGTAAGTATAGACAAAATAACCAAGTGTTTTATAGAGTCCCACAACATTCACTTAGTAATACAAGTTCGATTCGATATAGAAATCATAACCCACATTGCGTTAATTTCTGTCCTTAATTTGCATATAAGACGACAGAGTTTAATTTTCCTTTATGGTAAATAATCTACTATATACATGGCAATTTCTCTTTATTCAATATAATAGTTACGTCTCAGCATTTAGTCTACACTGTATACAGATTTTAATAATTCCCTAGATATTCCCTAGACTAACGTGGTTGATTAATTACAGAAAGGTTAGAGACAATATGCCTGTAAGAGTAACAATAAAGCATTGAGCATGTGAAAACGTTATAGGTCTAAACACTGAGAAGTCGATTACGAAATACTGCTTGCTGCGTATTCTGATGAAAATTGTATACTTGCGAAATCCAAGTTGATTGCTAAATAGTAAGGGTTATAAACATACAGAGTATTTCAAAAGCTATATTACAATACAGAACTGCGAGCACCAACAGCTGTAAGTAGATGTAAGCAAATGAGTTTAGAATAGATAAACACGTTTAAGATCATTCACATATTTTTCTATCCATTCCAACATATCTTATCATTCGTGTAATTCGGTCTGTTTGTTAAACTTATCACTCAGTTATGATCCGTGCGTATGCAAATTTCATATGCCTTGGGCTAATCGTACATTGTCTCGGATGCATTAATTGCACTTCGCAACCTAGTCACTCATTTATCTTATGATTATAAATACAAGGTGACATTCAGTGTTATGCGGTTGGGCGGTGCCTTGAGGTCGTCGCCATTTTTAGATCACGTGACTTAAATTGCGAAATACGAAGAAGTACTTATATTTTAGTCGATAAAAAATATATATTATTTCGTATTTAAACTGTTTATGAAAGGCAGCTCAGATCAATATATATCTTTTTAATTTTAAACGAGCATATATGTTAATGAATAACGCATTCTTCATTTCAGAGTGACGTAATTTATAAGAATACATTTCATTGGTCGACTACAGAGCCCCCTTTCTGTGACCGACAGGAGAGAGATGGCGTCGTCCAAGGTGAAAGCTTCACAACAGGTATGTTTCCTAGAATTTTGGAAATATGCATCAATATCTGAAGTGATATTCACCTCAGTTTTGAAATCATGTTTCAATCAATAATTTGTGTTATAAGCTTGTCTTTTATTTGTCAAGTAAACATTGTTTTTCCATGTTTCTGAGACTTCTAAACGACATGGGTGATATACGGCAATGCCTTCTATGTCGCTGGAAAAAAATCTATGTGCCGCTGTTAAAATATTTCTAGATCTAGATCCGAGTTATAATATTGTTGGATGTTACTTATCTAGATATCTGACAAATTTTTGATTTGATGGAAGATCGTTATGAAGAATATAATTGATAAGACCGACAGTGTAATATAACCTCATGAATATTCATCGGTCAGCCGGTAAGGGTTTTTCCGCATGTGAATCTGTGTTCGTCTATTTTTAAAGGTTAATTCATTATTATTAATCTTTTGTGTCTTGATGCTGAAATTGAAATTGAAGCACATTACAATAAATCTCTATTTAGTTCGTACGTTTGGCTATGTGAACATAGCATTCCTAGTACTATGATACAGAGGTCAAAATTAGAGGTCGCCAGGAAAGCTTGGGAAAATGCCGATAGCTTCGCTATCAGAGCGTGAAGTTGTCTTCGTTAGCTAAGCCGACTTTTCGTATTTATGACATCTATTTTTTTTACCGGCACAGTGATTTTACTTAATGCGTATCGGTTGAAAATCTACTATTTATACATTATTTAAATGTCTGACCCGATAAATGTTAACCAAAAGCACAAGTTCCAGTTTCTTTAAACATTGGACCAAATTACAAGTCTTGAAGGTCTGGTAACACCGGCTCACCTTTCACTTAGAATTGCAATTGGGAGAGGGTGTTTTCTTAACGGATAGTGAATTTTATTAATTTTAGATGAATATACATACTTTTTTGTCTGACTTTGCCTTTGATCAGCTAATCGATGTTGGTTTATACTCCGCCTCAGACTCATCTGAGAGTAACTTGCATTATTTAGGTAGTACACACAAGTTATTGTGTAATCTAAAAAAAAAATACAAGTCATGTGACATAAAATAGGCTTTTTAATGAAGTTTAACAACTACATGTTAACAATTTATCATTATGTTAATAGTAAAGCTGACACGAGGACCATATTTGTGTAGGTCAGGGATGCAATTTAGCTATATACACTAGGCCAAGCCAGACCAAATTCCTTTAAATAATGATGGGGGAATTCTCATTAGAGACTATTAATACCAAACTTTTGATTTCATGTTTATGAATTCCATGCCTTTGTAAATGTTTGTTTGATGGATAAAATGATAAAAAAAAATCTTGGTCATTTGAGGTAGTTATAAATGATGGCATGTACATGTAGTAGTTTTTTAATTCCATCTCCCTTTCCCATCAGTACCCAGTTCAGAGCCCCTTTTCAATTCAGATTATTTCAGGTCCAGGTCAAACCAGTGTTCCATAAGTTCAACTCAACTTAGATTGTCCTCTAACCCCAGTCCCCAATACAAATTGCAAATTGTCTCCTCCCCTCAGTCCAACTTAAGGCAAGGTAAATTGTTCTTGTTAGATGGGTGTTGACAAAGATATACAGAAACCAATGGTGTACTCAGGGTTTTCCATAAGAGCCGGTTGCCGGCCAATTTGACTGGCTACTTTTATCATTTGGCCGCCTACACCAATCCAGTTCCGTAATAATGTTCCGTACATGACTACACGTACACGGCAGGCCAGCCTCCTACTTTCACTACACAGCCTATTACTAACAAAATTATGGAAAACCCTGTGTACTCCCCAGTAGTAAAACTGATTTCGGTTTTGTGTATTGGTGTACAATTACATCTTTCTTACTAATGTGACATATTAAGATGATCATTGATAGTTTAAGGAAAACTGAATCAGAGACGCTGAGCATGAAATAAATTGTTTATCATTTCTGATTACAGCCTCGGGCTGATAGCTACCGAGTAGCTATCACACCAGGTGGCGAAGATGTCAAGAAAAACAAGAAGAAGAAGAAGAAGGAGAACTTGGATGAGCTCAAGCAGGAGCTTGAGATGGACGAACACAAGATCCCTATTGAAGAACTGTATGACAGACTTGGCACTGATCCAAACAATGTAAGGCTTAAAAAACAATAATAATATTGATGAAGTATTGAAATTTGAAGCTCTGTATTAAAAATAGTATTTCAGAAGAAAAACTGAATTAATATACATGTGTAGATGAAGTGAAGAATTTTGGTATACTTTACTTTATTTAGTTGGTTTGTAAGTAGATTTGGAAAATCAATATTGATATATATTATACATTGATTTTAATACGGTACTGTTATGTGGTGTTTCTTTTTCAAAGGGTTTGTCAGCTGAGCGAGCTGCCATGATTCTGGCAAGAGATGGTCCTAATGAGCTGACTCCACCTCCCACTACACCAGAATGGGTTAAGTTCTGTAAACAATTGTTTGGTGGTTTTTCCATGCTTTTGTGGATTGGAGCCATCCTTTGTTTCATTGCCTATTCCATCCAAGCCAGTCAGTATGATGACCCCCCTGGTGATAACGTAAGTACACCAGTATACTTGGAATTGTATTGCAGTATAAATGAATCTTTGGCTTTGTATTGCACTGCTGTGTAATGTGTATTGTATCACGGTAAATCTCTCTTTCAGTTGTACCTTGGAGTTGTGTTGACCGCTGTTGTGGTAGTTACAGGATGTTTCTCATATTACCAAGAAGCCAAGAGTTCCAAGATTATGGATTCGTTCAAAAGCATGGTTCCTCAGGTACTGATCATATCATGTGTTTCACCTTTGCGAGCTGTATGTTAAGAAATATTGTAGGTTTCAAGATGATCCCAATTCTACATTCCATTTCTGGTAAAAACTGAGAATAGTTACATAACAAGAATAAGTTATGTTACTGTTTTCATGTCAAAATAAATTTTGTGAAATAATTATAGTGTTTAATGTTATAGTGTCTATATAACATCAAGACCAAAAAGGGCAACACAGGAAAATTTGTTGTAAAAAAATATCCTAGATGGTATTATAGTGTGTTACAACATGAAATCTGGTGATAGACAAATAACCCATCGTGAACGCATCAGACTGAAAGTTAGAATAGAAAAACAGGTTCAACTGAAATTTCTCTGTCATTAAAAATGATGATGGGTTGATGTCAGGATTACTTTCCAAACAGGTTCTCGCGGTAAACATGAAATTATACTGTTATTGGTTTTTAATTTGTTAATTTATTTCGCAAGAATTATTTTCTCAAACTTGAACTGTCTCTAAATTTCAGTTTGCCCTGGTGACACGTGGTGGAGTGAAAATTGATTTGAAAGCTGAAAACCTTGTTGTTGGCGACATTATTGATGTGAAATTTGGAGATCGAGTTCCTGCAGATATCCGTTTAATGACCGCACAGGGATTTAAGGTATTTTTTTTTTCAAATATAATTTAAGTAACATACATGTATCTTATTATTAATTATTTTGTTTGTCAGAAACACAATTTCATTAATCTGGTTTAAAATTGGGTGTAGTCATTAAAAGATCTGTAGAGTCCACCGAGTGTCTGTTGGGGGCTTTGGTCATACATACCAAACCAACATCAGGTATTACAAATGTCTGCCTTCTGCTAAATATGTGAACAGGTGTAAAGTCTTTCTGTATCACCATTGCAAATAGCAGAAAGAATAAATGGAATCTGCCTTCCTCTGTACAGGTGTAAGATGAAAGTTTCGGGAATATTGTTGTGTATGCATGCTTATCCGATTCAAAATGTTTGGAGAAATGGTCCTTTTTACTGCCACACCCTAATCCCCACACATGTTCATGGTTAATTACAGGGTCTTCTATCAATTATACTGATTAAATTATTTTTTAAGGTTGATAACTCTTCACTTACTGGAGAATCTGAGCCATGTTCTCGCTCACCTGACTTCACTAATGAAAACCCTCTGGAAACCAGAAATCTTGCTTTCTTCTCTACCAACGCTGTTGAAGGTGAGTTTAATTTCTAAGTCAAAAAGTACTTATTAATGGGCTGTTATCCTTCGTCTGATTATGGATTAGCAGATAAGCAGATATAACGTGACTATTATTAATTTTTAGGGTACATATATTTTATTGAGTTTCAATAGAATGTAGGTCCGACTAGACTATAATAACAAGTATGTTTTAGTCATATGGTGCAATTACTGATTTCCTGAACAGACATATGCCTACTGTGGTTTGATCATTGGTGACAAGTTTAAATATCTATTTTGATAGGTACATGCCGTGGTATTGTTGTGAAGACTGGAGATAAGACTGTGATGGGACGTATTGCTAACCTTGCTTCTGGTCTCGAGGTCGGAGAGACTCCCATTGCTAAAGAGATTGCCCATTTTATCCATATCATCACTGGAGTGGCTGTGTTCCTTGGTGTTACCTTCTTTATCATCGCTTTCATCCTGGGATACTTCTGGCTGGATGCTGTTATCTTCCTCATTGGTATCATTGTGGCTAATGTACCCGAAGGTCTGCTGGCTACTGTCACAGTAAGTGTTTCACTTCAAGCATTGCTAAGTGCTAAATATGTTTTCTCTACTAGACATGGTCACACTTCTCCATCATTTTCTAGATTACTTCTAGATCTTAAACAGTCCTTGAAATGTAAAATTTATGACAGACTGGTCTTATTATGTTTCATAACTTTGTCACTTTCAGACAAATTAAATCAACATCCACAATGAAGGGCTGTTTTTCTCATTTTCAAAAGAAAGGTTTTGACATAATTTTGAAAAAAAACCGGATTAACATCATTAAAGAATTAGACACATGACTCTGTGACTCTTAAAGAAGTTATCAGAAAAAAGTCCTGTACTGTGTTACTTTTTTTGTCCAGGTATGTTTGACCCTGACTGCCAAACGTATGGCCTCCAAGAACTGTCTTGTGAAGAATCTTGAGGCTGTCGAGACGCTTGGATCCACTTCTACAATCTGCTCTGACAAGACTGGTACACTCACCCAGAACAGAATGACAGTTGCTCACATGTGGTTTGATGGTCACATTGTAGAAGCAGATACCAGCGATGACCAGTCAAGTATGTGATTTCTTGTTACATTTGAAGCATTCTTCTTTAAGACAAGATATCTAGTTTGATACTTTTGTATTAGTAGTTCTATTACAGAATTAAGAATGTTTTATTTACTCCAATTTACACCTAGCAGACTAAAACAATTTTCATCAATGTTTAACAGGTGGTAGTGTTCATTTGTCAGCAAATAGGAAAATTCAGAACTTAAATGAGAAATTCAGAAATATAAATTTTGGTATATTTATTTATGATAATGGGAATACACATGAAGGTATCTTTTTCAAGGTCAGCATATCAAATTCTGATAATTGATAATAATCATGATCTCGCAGATATTGATTATGAACATGGAAAATGGTTCCTATCTGATATTGATAATGGATATTGGTTATGATCACTGAGTTATAGATCGTGAAAATGGCAATCTTCTTGATGTTGAGACTCTTTGTACACGCATGCATTAAGACTTTGTATATTTTGTAATCGTTAGAGACAACTCTCCGGAATAAAGCTGGTAACCCACAATAGTATCACTAGTATGCTGCAGATTGCACCACACACATAACTAAATAAGATATGTTTGTTTTGAATGCATGGTGTGTTTCTTACAGCAGGGATTAATCAACGCTTCTTTAAGATTGGGAAGAAAATTTTCTTGTGCAGAATAAAAAAAGTATTAAGTAAAGTTTGCAGACAAATTTACTTGTATTAATTTCCAATTTTATGGAAAGTCTGCTTTTAATATAAAGAGATAGGTAGACTGGGAAACAGATAATTAGAATGACTTAAAATTGATCCCTGCTCTTATATACAACATAGTATCAATTTTCTTGTGTCCCAGAGCACAGAACAGATAAGATACAATTTGGGTAGCAATGTTACACTAGTGTTAATTAAGTAACATACATTGAAGCACTACACCAATCCTTGGACTTGATTTTGTTTGTGATTCTAGCACTGTTGTATAAGCAAGGATTTTTGCAAGCTAATTTCAGACTTCAGAAACTTTGAAAGTTCTATAATTTTTGAGATACAGAAAATGTTTCTGGCATTTTTTAATTGAAAAAGATTCAACACCTATTATCTGACATTGCATATGACATTGTTTTTTTTATTTTAATTCACAATATTTTGAGAAAAATCATGAAAAATTCTCTTTGAAAAGTAACTATTATTTGATCCAATTGGAGTCTTCTAAAGAGCACCTGCTAAAACAACAGTACTTAAGTATGCACACAATACATGAGTATAAATACATAGATATTTATAATGTATGGCACAGTATTATACTGTTATACTATATACTATTTACATAAAGATTTCGCGTGGTTTATTGTCTGATGCCATCTGTCTGATGGTTGCCAAATGAGGGCTGTCATAATTATGAAACTCTCAACCTAAATGTATTTGGTGTCAGTGAATAAGTTTGTCATGACTTTGATCCTCTTTTGTATGCATTGTTCCTTATTCTCAGCTAAAACTTAATATGGTCTCAGAATTCAAAACATGTTTTCCAACCTGAAATCTTACCTGAAAATGGTTATAAGGGTATTTTATGACAGCCCTAGCTTAAATCCCTGAAATTTCCTGTTTTAAACAAAATTAAGATTATTTTTTAAAGCATTTTTTTTGGAGACCTTTGGAAGTAGATTTAATTTGTTTAAATTGAACTTTATTTCCAAAGAGCAGTATGTAGATTGATAATCAATGAGGAACGTGTGAATTGTTCAAATGCTCATGATTTTTGTATAGATATCAACAGTCCTGTAAAATTTTAAATATTTTTCTAATTGAAACCTCCCAAAACATGTCTAAACTATCTTTTCATGTATAAATGATCTGAAGTGTCTATCCATGTTTTTTATTTTGGAAAGAGTTTTAAAAAATAACATTTATAATGAATTACACTGGTGATGTATAGCAAATAATATTATGACAAAGCTTTTTTCTTTTTCTTTTGTACTTGAATGTGAACTATTGATAATTTTAGATGCAACCTATGGCTCTGGAGATGAGACTTGGATGTCACTGGCACGCATTGCTATGTTGTGTAACCGAGCTGAATTCAAGTCTGGCCAAGAAAATGTACCTGTTCTGAAGAGGTAGGTAAAGCAAGATATTTACAAGACAAGCATCTAAACAAATAGGCAAAACTATTCAATTGAAAGAGGTTCATCTATGCAAAAAATTCTTTAATATTTTGCACTAGAGCACTCATTGAGGTGTGTTTAATATTTACATTCTCTATGCAAACCTAATCTGTGATCAATTATTAATTAAAATGTAAGTTTTGGAGGGGAATTCATAGTTGGTGGGGTTTTTTTCCTCACCTATTTTAATTTTGATAAATCAATATAATTATTGTGATTTGAATGTTACAGGGAATGTAACGGTGATGCTTCTGAGTCTGCCCTGCTCAAGTGTGTAGAACTGTCCATTGGAGATGTAACAGGCTTCCGTCACAGGAACAAGAAGATCTGTGAAATTCCATTCAACTCCTCCAACAAATACCAGGTAAGTGTGGATGTGTTGACACTTTGGACCCAAAGTTACGTAACATAATATTGTCAAATACCTTTTATATCCAAATCCGCTTCTTACAATCCCAGCATCAAAACCTTTTATTTAAACTAATGACCAACTGTTTGAAAATGAATCCTTTTGAAGAATGAAAAATAGAAAGGTTATTTGTAACAAAGAATATTCAATTCTAGTGAAGTTACATGGAATTACAAGATTTTTCTCTACCATTTTAACATTCATGTTTAAACTTATATTTTCACAATTTGACATTCTTCTTTAGGTGTCAGTCCATGAGACCGAGATCCCAGACGATCCCCGCTACTTGTTGGTGATGAAGGGAGCTCCTGAGAGGATTCTGGACAGGTGTTCAACTGTTTTGTTTAATGGCAAGGATATTGCATTGGATGACAACTTCAGGACTGCCTTTAATGCTGCATACATGGAGTTGGGAGGTCTTGGAGAGCGTGTGCTTGGTAAGGCTTAAGTTTACAATGTATTAGAATTTACAGGCTGAGAATTGGGCCAAGATTATACCATATTACGGCAAAACAATAGAAATTTAAAGTAATTTAGTAAAATATTATCTAGATAGTTTATGTACATAGCGACAGAAACCACAGCATATCACAATGTGTGGCAACATTTACGTAGGTTTAGTTCTTTTTTCAATATGTTTTTCTATCAATAAATTTCTGGATTCTGTAACTATCAATTCTATTGATGTGAATACAAGTATAAAAGACTTGAAGATTTCTCGTAATTTGGTGCACTCTTCAATCCGACAAAGATTTCACAAAATATTGAACACACACAATTGTTTGCGAAACAGAAAAAAAGGAAATTGTTATCTTTTCCAGGTTTCTGTGACTACTTCCTTCCTTCTGACCAATACCAGCCAGGATATCCCTTTGACAGCGAGGAGGAGAACTTCCCTCTTAGTGGACTGCGATTTGTTGGACTGATGTCTATGATAGATCCTCCAAGGGCCGCTGTACCAGATGCTGTAGGAAAATGCAGGAGTGCTGGAATCAAGGTATGATCTGTGATGTATTGTCTATTTTGTTTTAGAAAATGTTTCAATGATCAAGTGTAAACATAGAAGATACAGATAGGTGATATTAGATATTGTTCATCAAATTTTACTATGTCTATTTTAAAATAAACTTCACAGAGAATATGATAACAAATTCTGATAAAAATTGCTAATAAAGTGTGGATTATCTCCATCATCAGCCCAGCACATACATCTATTGGATATGTTGAACCAAATATTGATTAAATAAATTGCATTACTCTCTGGATGAGTTTTGGTTTACTTCATGGTGCTGTGAAAAATGATTTCTTCCTTTTCATAACTTGTAATCTGATGTTAGGTAGCCACTGTCTCAATGGTTTTCACTCTCAAATTATTTATGTAGGAAAGCTTACACTGAAATTTTCAATTTGAACAGCTTTTGTCTTCTCTAGAAATCAAGTATCTTCTAAAATTCTTCATAACTCTACCAATTCTTAAGTTTTTTAATTGGTCCCCCTTTATAATCTTTCAGGTTATCATGGTGACTGGTGATCATCCTATCACAGCTAAGGCTATTGCTAAGGGTGTTGGTATCATCTCCGATGGCAGCAAGACCGTAGAAGACATTGCTAATGAACGTGGAATCAAGGTGGAAGATGTTGACCCAAGAGATGCTCGTGCTGCTGTCATCCACGGTGCTGACCTCAGAGACATGACCCCAGCACAGATCGACGAAATCCTCCGAGACCATCCTGAGATTGTGTTTGCCAGAACTTCCCCACAACAGAAACTCATCATTGTGGAAGGTTGTCAGAGACAAGGACAGATTGTGGCCGTCACTGGTGATGGAGTCAACGATTCTCCTGCTCTCAAAAAGGCTGACATTGGCAAGTGTTGTTTAGAAATCAATATCTGTCAAAAATGTGTTGAGTGAGAAAAAAAGACAATTTTCATTTGTGATTTACTTAACTATAGAATGCTGTGATGTATCATTGCTTGTGTTTATTTTATAGGTGTTGCTATGGGTATTGCCGGAAGTGATGTCAGCAAACAAGCTGCCGACATGATATTGCTGGATGACAACTTTGCCTCTATTGTAACAGGAGTAGAAGAAGGTATTTATCATTTTGGTTTTATAGTTTCTGATACTCCGTGCTGACCTTCATGTTGTTATATAGAAATTATACATTAAAGGAATGAATCTTCTATGTATTAAGTTAGTTAAAGAAAGGGGGAAAATGTTTTGTATTTGGTATTATAAAATTGAAAAAGGAAAACGTCTGAATTTGTATTGAGTTAAATTTATGAAATTAACGAAAAAAATGCAATTCACACAAAGAAAGAGTGATATTGATCATTGTACTAAATAATATTGAATGTTATTCTCATCAGTGAACTTTACATTTCAGGACGTCTTATCTTTGATAATCTGAAGAAGTCCATTGCCTATACACTGACATCTAACATCCCCGAGATCAGTCCATTCTTGTTCTTCATTCTCCTCGACATCCCCCTGCCCCTTGGAACCATCACCATCCTGTGTATTGATTTGGGTACTGACATGGTACCGGCCATCTCCCTTGCCTATGAAGGACCAGAAAGTGACATCATGAAGAGACAGCCTCGTGATCCCATTAAGGATAAACTTGTCAACGAAAGGTACATTTTATCAAGAGAATCAATATTTCCTAATCATTGCAACTCTTATCAATTTATTGGTAATCCACTCCTAATGTACATTTTGTCCAAATACAATAAAAGATATGTCATTCAATCTAATGTGATAACTTATTAAATTCATTTAAATCTCTCATATCTAGGTTGATAAAATATTTTGGATAACCTCACTGTACAGCATTTAATTTAGTAATTTTTTTATTTTTTTTATTGTCTTCCCCTGTGTAGGTTGATCAGTATGGCCTACGGACAGATTGGTATGATCCAGGCCTCTGCTGGATTCTTCGTCTACTTTGTCATCATGGGTGAGAATGGATTCTGGATGAGCAGACTTCTTGGTATCCGTGAACAGTGGGACGCCATGGCTGTCAATGATCTTCAGGATTCCTATGGACAGGAATGGGTAAGACAGCAAATATTCTTTCTGTCCTGTGAAAAAAATTTCTATATTGGATCTTTCTTCTGAATGTATTCATTTCAGAATCCACACTATTTGAACCAAAAGTATCACATAAAGAATCTAGAATCAAAACACTGATAATTTATCTGAGTTAAACAACTATTGCAATCAATAAAAACTTGATTCTTAGTAACAAATCCTTGAGATGTAATTACGCAGTGCTTGTATAAGTGAAACCATACTAGTTTCCATAACGCAGAGAGCAACTGAAGTTTTAGATATTGAATGTTTCTATGTCTGTGAAATAAGTTAAAACTTCGTTAACTTCTTGTTTCTTTTAGACTTATGACCAGAGGAAGACGCTGGAATACACCTGTCATACCTCTTTCTTCGTGTCCATTGTCGTCGTACAGTGGGCCGATCTGATCATCTGTAAGACTAGGAGACTTTCTCTATTCCAACAAGGAATGAAGTAAGTTCTGATTATAAAACCTCGCCATTTACCATTATCTGTTAAATAAGAAATCTTTCTCTATTTTTGATGGGGGATGAAATAATTTCTGATCATACTTCCTGATCATCAAATCTCATCATTTAACATCATCTGGGTTAGATTACTGTCAAAAAAGAAGTCTTTCTGTATTTAGAATGATGGAATATTCTCAATGTACCCCATTTCCTGCTTATTAGGGTACAACTCTCACCCCCACCAAATCCATGAATTTCAAGAATCTAAAATCTTCCAACATCAAGGTTCGGTTACCATACCTTGAATGTCATGTCATTACAGAAATCAGGATGTATACCTATCAAAGTTTCATATTATGAAATGCAAATTCTGTTTGATAAAGAATGTAATCATTTTAGTCCATCGAGAAATAGGAAATGTAACCCATTAAAAATCAGTTAAGATGTGAACATTGAAAAAAATAATATGAAATACATCTAGAATTGTCTTATGTATTGTTTGAAAACTTTTTGCTAAATCTGTTTATTTCTTTCAGAAATCACCATCTCACGTTTGGTCTGTTCTTCGAGACAGCACTTGCTGCATTCCTTACATATTGCCCGGGTCTTGATCAAGGTCTTCGTATGCAAAACCTACGGTATGTATTTTTGATCACTTAGTTCTCTTCATTTTCTTTAGTTTAAATTTGTCTTTTTTCTCAATGTGTTCCATTTTTGCTGTAGATGTTGCTGAATCAGATGCGTTATAATGATTAAACTTTTCGAGGTTTTCTAGGTATTTTTCCACGAAAGAAATAAGATTGGCAGTACATAGTCATGGAGAACAACTCTAACTGGTTTACTCACTAGTTGGCATATGAGTCACCTAGCATCAATTCTTTATTCGTAGATATCGTAATGTTGATCTTTTTAAATCATCGTGTTGTTGGATTTTTGTATTTGACACAACAGCTTGCATTAGTGTTTTCTGATATACATGTATCTCCTTTTTCCAGGTGGACATGGTGGTTTCCTGCAATGCCGTTCAGTTTGGCCATCTTTATTTATGATGAATGTAGAAAAACCATCCTCCGTCGTTCGCCGGGAGGTTTTGTGGAACGGGAGACCTACTATTAACAAATTGACAAACTTAGATTCTTATTGTTATAAAACTGAATTTTCAATTCATCGATATGTGTTAATATGATGTATAGATTCGGTCTGGTATCGGCGACACCAACTTATGTGGACTGTTTGTAAATATATCAGGATCATTAACCATGTGATCACTGTTAGCAAGGACTCTTTGTGACAGATTTTGTATTACTATGTCACAAGAAGAAAAAAGATAGATTTATCAAGTGATGTAACTATCTTTGTACATTAATATTATCATAATGACGTAATATCACAGGATGTCAGTAATAAAGAAGACAGATTCTGTTTGATTTGGTTCAGTATGAAATAACTACGGAAATTGGCCAATGATATTCCAAGGCTTGTATTTGACTTAGGAGATATGTATGTGCCCGTTGTACTGTTGTGTAGGTGTTTTTGTATGAGTGTGCAGTCCCCTTCACTGGGGGACAGTATGCAGTCAGTGAAACCATATGATTTTAGAATTTGTTTTTATTACTTCTACTCCGACTCATTTTACACAACACATCCAACATTTTTTGTACATTTTATTAAACTTTATTTTTCAAGAAGTGGACACAATATAATCATTTTTCCATCTAGTAGTAAAAATCATAGTAATTTCCCATGTTTCCAGTGTTTGTAGTTTAAAATTTTTGCATTTATAGTAGCAAAAGGTCTGAATATCTGGGAATATGATGCAATAGTATATATATATATACATCAGATTGAATCAAAATAACATCGTAAATACAATTTGGAATGTGTGTTCAGAGGATTAATCTAGAGATGAAAAAAAAATAAGATCTGATTGTAATAATATTGATTCATAAGCCAAAGCTGTCCTTCGCTTTTATTTCAAAGATTTTACTACCATTTTAAGATATATTTCTAGTTTGTGTTTTTATGAACTTCAGGTCTTTAAGGTTGTAGTACAACTGGAATAGTGTCTAGCAGGACAGCGGGAATATTTTTAAAAGGGAACAATCTGGAGCATGTCTTCTTTTAGTTGTGTATGTTACGATATCGGAGTTGTCTCCCCTTGTGACACAGCTTTGATAATGTAAGGTTTGATACTCAACCCTTTGATGAATTTCTGCATTTTCTTTGTTTATGTAGCTTTGACTCCTCTGATTATCTAGCCGATAGAAAAAATAGAAAGGAACTTTGTAAATTTGTAGTTGACAGAGAAATGAAATATGTTTAAAAAAACTGTTATCCCCACTTCACCCTAGAATCTTGCTGAATGTGTTCCGTGAAGAACCACGTTGATGCTTGTCAATGCAAGTTTTTGTTTAATCAGATGGGGCTGTGGTATGATAGGTTTACTGATTTCTTAGAAATCGTTGTAATTGCATTTACCGTGATCTATTTTCCAGATTTATATTTGTCAAGTATTTTTTTGGTTGAGATTGTACTGACATGCTCCTTTTGGGATATTTTTGCAGCAAGTATCTGTGGAGAGATTCACTTTGGATTTTTCCCATGGATGTCGAAAGTTATGTGTCGATGTACATGAGATGATTTAAAGGAATGCTTCTGTGGATGTTGGCATTACTTTGTGTATAAAAAAGATGCTGATGTTGTGAATTGTCGATGTTTTTATATTACTATTCATCTTTGCTCATATCCTCAGTTCTATACAATATAGAAACCTAGGCATATATAAATTATACGCAACACAAAGTGGACGAGCTACATTCCAAAATATGGTACCTCTTAATGTATAACAAGGCCCATAACTCCGTACCAATATTTAGGCATAATAATATATATACATATATAACCAAGCAATACGTTTTTTTCATTAAATTCGATAGAAAAATCAGGAAATTTTTTTTTGTTTTGTTTTGTTTTTTTTTTCCTGTTAATATTTTTAATTGAATGTTTTTTTGCAAATAGTCATCTTGCCTGAAAGGGAGTTTGGGAGTGAATTGATCAGATTTCTGTACAAGAAAGTAGGAATTTTTTTTGTTGGTTTTCTGTGTCGTTAGTAGGAGATCTCCGTTTGGATAGCCCTGAGTGTGTAGACATCTTTTATCATGAAGACCACTTCTCTTTGGTCATGAGATTTTTATTATGGGGATACACAGAAAATTATAGTACGAGACTAAGGTTGGTCATCTGTCATTTCACTATTATTCAATTGCCAAAGGTAAAAACTTTATAACAAGTTCGTAAACTAACACAGCTTTATAACACTAGACCAGACGGGAAGACTTCGGTCTCTGTTTATAATATATGTGCATCCCTCGGCTTCCTAGGACTTTTTCTGACGATGTTGAATTTTAAATTCTGTTAAATCTGCATGTTGTGATTGACCTACAGCTTATCTTACCGTTTTAACCAGAACAGGTCCATTGTACAATTTTTCTTTGGCTTGCCGTGTTTGACCTCACAGCAAGGTCATGTCATTGAGGGATTGACCTTTGACCTGTGCTTTGGTATGATGTCAGATGACCTGAATGTCTGGAGTTGTTGTGTTATTTAGTCAGAATGGTTTCTAGTGAAGCCAATACGGAGACCTTTTTTTCCCCTTCGGACGTCTTTCATTTCTTTGCGTATTGGAATTCTCACGTCATAGCAGATGTAACTGACACCTAAAATTTTGAAGAAATAAACCTTTTAGATCTAAACGTGACCTTTGTTGTGTATTCATAAAGCCATGACGATCACGTGATTATCATATGTCCAAGGCGTGCTGTCAGTGCAGCTTGTTTACAAATAAAAAAATACATGATATGCCAATTTCATTTGTTAAAACATAAACAAATTGATCTGAATATGGCTTATTAGTAAGTCTTCAATTGCTATAATTCAATATTGTGTACTTAAGTCATTTGTATACACCCGTGGAAAGACTGATTGTATTATGTTATGTGAGCGGAAGAGCTGGCAGACGCAGTGTCCCCTCGATAACTTAACAGTTTTCACTGAAAGTTTCATGATAGATCTGGACAATTTCGATGATTGCAGTTTTACGACCAAACTACGCAGTTATGGCCCATTATTTAATTACTCAAACAGTATCCCATCGATATCGAAAATAGTTTCCAAGAAATCAACTTCAACTTTCAGAGGACGGTTCCGCACCCTGATAACTCGGACAGGTTCGATCACAATAATTCAATAATTCACGGAGCAATTTTGTATTGTTTTCACTACATCATCTATCATTAAAACATGGTACTGTTTTCCCTCATAAAATGTTGATGAAATTTTTACAATTTCCGTATACCGAGAAATTCGAAATATTGAAGTTCGAAATACCGAAGTTTGACAATTTCTTTGGAGTGGGATGGGCGTTCAATATTCTGTCCGGCGGTACTCTTGTCCTATCAGTGACACTACATTTGGTTGTTAATCTTTCGTACGCCTGTTGACATTGGCATTCATTGTCCTAGATCAATATCGATAATCAATTGATCTTTATATTCATCAACAACCATGTTCTTGTTATTTAAATAATTTACAAGCTTTCCCCAAAACCATCCCAGAGCTATCGGAAATACTACTATGATTAATAAAAGACCGTTAATAGCAGGTTCAAATTTAGAAACGTCAATGAAATTTCCGTTTTTGAATTACATTTAATCAAGTATTAAGCAATATGGTACATCAAACATTCAGCTGACAATACCTGTTCTTTAATACACGATGTTATTTGGTGCAATCATTTTTTTTTCAAAAATAACCGATATCTACCATTGGATCGAGTTAAAACAGGCAAACAAGTACTCAAAGCATTTCAATAACGTGCTGTACAGAGAAGAACCTAAAACACCTCTCACGTTTTTCTACATGCTGTAGACATAGTTATGGAACAAAGTAAGTGGAAACGTAAATAAATACACATGGACGCAAAATGTGATGAAGCACGTGTGTTTAAACGAGACGTAAATCGGTCTTTGTGCTTTTCTGGAGACATCTGCAAATAAAATCGTGTTTTACTTTTAAGCAGCTATAACAACATCATCTGTTGTGTTCAGTAGAGATATCACCTGTTGTAATGTTCAGTAGAGATATCCCCTGTTGTAATGTTCAGTAGATATATCCCCTGTTGTAATGTTCAGTAGAGATATGACCTGTTGTAATGTTCAGTAGAGATATCACCTGTTGTAATGTTCAGTAGAGATATCCCCTGTTGTAATGTTCAGTAGAGATATCATCTGTTGTAATGTTCAGTAGAGATATCACCTGTTGTAATGTTCAGTAGAGATATCCCCTGTTGTAATGTTCAGTAGATATATCCCCTGTTGTAATGTTCAGTAGAGATATGACCTGTTGTAATGTTCAGTAGAGATATCACCTGTTGTAATGTTCAGTAGAGATATCCCCTGTTGTAATGTTCAGTAGAGATATCATCTGTTGTAATGTTCAGTAGAGATATCACCTGTTGTAATGTTCAGTAGAGATATCACCTGTTGTAATGTTCAGTAGAGATATCCCCTGTTGTAATGTTCAGTAGAGATATCACCTGTTGTGTTCAGTAGAGATATCACCTGTTCAGTAGAGATATCATCTGTTGTAATGTTCAGTAGAGATATCACCTGTTGTAATGTTCAGTAGAGATATCACCTGTTGTAATGTTCAGTAGAGATATCCCCTGTTGTAATGTTCAGTAGAGATATCACCTGTTGTGTTCAGTAGAGATATCACCTGTTGTAATGTTCAGTAGAGATATCATCTGTTGTAATGTTCAGTAGAGAAATCACCTGTTGTGTTCAATAGAGATATCACCTGTTGTAATGTTCAGTAGAGATATCACCTGTTGTAATGTTCAGTAGAGATATCACCTGCTGTAATGTTCAGTAGAGATATCACCTGTTGTAATGTTCAGTAGAGATATCACCTGTTGTAATGTTCAGTAGATATATCCCCTGTTGTAATGTTCAGTAGAGATATGACCTGTTGTAATGTTCAGTAGAGATATCATCTGTTGTAATGTTCAGTAGAGATATGACCTGTTGTAATGTTCAGTAGATATATCCCCTGTTGTAATGTTCAGTAGAGATATGACCTGTTGTAATGTTCAATAGATATATCCCCTGTTGTAATGTTCAGTAGAGATATCACCTGTTGTAATGTTCAGTAGAGATATCCCCTGTTGTAATGTTCAGTAGAGATATCACCTGTTGTAATGTTCAGTAGAGATATCACCTGTTGTAATGTTCAGTAGAGATATCCCCTGTTGTAATGTTCAGTAGATATATCACCTGTTGTGTTCAGTAGAGATATCACCTGTTGTAATGTTCAGTAGAGATATCACCTGTTGTGTTCAGTAGAGATATCATCTGTTGTAATGTTCAGTAGAGAAATCACCTGTTGTGTTCAGTAGAGATATCACCTGTTGTAATGTTCAGTAGAGATATCCCCTGTTGTAATGTTCAGTAGAGATATCACCTGTTGTAATGTTCAGTAGAGATATCACCTGCTGTAATGTTCAGTAGAGATATCACCTGTTGTAATGTTCAGTAGAGATATCCCCTGTTGACTACTAAGGTAGAAAACCACATTGATATCTGTTTCAGTAGAGATATCCCCTGTTATCTACTAAGGTAGAAAACTGCATTGTTTTCTGTTTCAATAGAGATATCCCCTGTTGTCTAGTAAGTCAGACATATACCACGATGCCTATTTCAGTTGAGATATCCCTTATTGCCTATTTCAGTACAGAAACCCCTCTTTATTAGAGCCACATTCCTGCATCTATACTTTAAAGTATAATGTTAAATTATCAAAGTATTTACCTCTGTTGGGCTTATATTTTGATGAAGTCTGTAGTCACGTGTTCTTAATTAACAGTAAATATGCTATAATATAATATTGAGACCGTTTCTGATTCAGTTTCACCATTCTGAATGCTGTGACGTTACAATGTTACTTAAGTCGTGAACCACATGGACTCCACATCAATTATCGATTCAAAACGAAGCGTTTTGTATGGTAGCTGGTAAAACTGTTCACCGTCTGGACGTTTTATGTAAATGATAGTCATAACATCAGAAGGATACCACAAAGAGTGGACTGCAAAAGTCATTTCGATACGTACTGGATTTACCTTACACACTTTTAGTGTATCAGATGTTATCCGAACGTAAAGTCAACAGCTGAAAGTGACTAGATTCATTACAGGAGTGAGATAAACAGGTTGACAATTTCAGAAACAGAGAAAACCATATACAATTTAATAGCGTTTAAAGTATAATTTCTTAATTTTTTGTCAAAAGGGTGTAATCTGAATCTTAGAGTTACTTTATCTTATTTCTGGATGTTTTTCGTTTTTCCATGAAGTTACAATTACGACAAAGAGGCCGGATGATTGGACGTCACCAGTACAGCGAATTATAGGGACGGATTGAAGGCCTTCACCTTAAACACATAAAAATATCTTAGATACGAACAACATCGACGAATATAAGATATGATAAATTATGTTAGATTGACCAGGAGTTAATTAGGACAATAAAGACACATCATGGCGGCCTGTCGCCTGGCAACGGTGGTCAGGTGTGTGATGATCACGGTGAACAGTTTATTTGTGGTAAGTACAGGTGTGTGATGATCACGATGAACAGTTTATTTGTGGTAAGTACAGGTGTGTGATGATCACGGTGAACAGTTTATTTGTGGTAAGTACAGGTGTGTGATGATCACGGTGAATAGTTTATTTGTGGTAAGTACAGGTGTGTGATGATCACGGTGAATAGTTTATTTGTGGTAAGTACAGGTGTGTGATGATTACATTGAATATATTATTTGTGGTAAGTACAGGTGTGTGATGATCACGATGAACAGTTTATTTGTGGTAAGTACAGGTGTGTGATGATCACGATGAACAGTTTATTTCTGGTAAGTACAGGTGTGTGATGATTACGGTGAATAGAGTATCTGTGGTAAGTACAGGTGTGTGATGATTACGGTGAATATATTATTTGTGGTAAGTACAGGTGTGTGATGATTGCGGTGAATAGATTATTTGTGGTAAGTACAGGTGTGTGATGATTACGGTGAATAGATTATTTGTGGTAAGTACAGGTGTGTGATGATTACGGTGAACTGTTTATTGGTGGTAAGTACAGGCGTGTGATGACTACGGTGAATATATTATTTGTGGTAAGTACAGGTGTGTGATGATTACGGTGAATAGATTATTTGTGGTAAGTACAGGTGTGTGATGATTACGGTGAATAGATTATTTGTGGTAAGTACAGGTGTGTGATGATCACGGTGAACAGTTTATTTGTGGTAAGTACAGGCGTGTGTGATAATAACGGTGAATATATTTGTGTTAAGTACAGGCGTGTGATGATTACGGTGAATAAATTATTTGTGGTAAGTACAGGTGTGTGATGATTACGGTGAATAGATTATTTGTGGTAAGTACAGGTGTGTGATGATTACGGTGAATAGATTATTTGTGGTAAGTACAGGCGTGTGATGATTACGGTGAATAGATTATTTGTGGTAAGTACAGGTATGTGATGATTACGGTGAATAGAGTATTTGTGGTAAGTACAGGCGTGTGATGATCACGGTGAATAGATTATTTGTGGTAAGTACAGGTGTGTGATGATTACGGTGAATATATTATTTGTGGTAAGTACAGGTGTGTGATGATTACGGTGAATAGATTATTTGTGGTAAGTACAGGCGTGTGATGATTACGGTGAATAGATTATTTGTGGTAAGTACAGGCGTGTGATGATAATACGGTGAATATATTATTTGTGGTAAGTACAGGCGTGTGATGATTACAGGCGTGTGATGATTACAGTGAATAGAGTATATGTGGTAAGTACAGGTGTGTGATGATCACGGTGAATAGATTATTTGTGGTAAGTACAGGTGTGTGATGATCACGGTGAACAGTTTATTTGTGGTAAGTACAGGCGTGTGATGATTACGGTGAATAGATTATTTGTGGTAAGTACAGGTGTGTGATGATTACGGTGAATAGATTATTTGTGGTAAGTACAGGCGTGTGATGATCACGGTGAATAGATTATTTGTGGTAAGTACAGGCGTGTGTGATAATAACGGTTAATATATTTGTGTTAAGTACAGGCGTGCGATGATTGCGTTGAATATATTATTTGTGGTAAGTACAGGTGTGTGATGATTACGGTGAATAGAGTATTTGTGGTAAGTACAGGCGTGTGATGATCACGGTGAATAGATTATTTGTGGTAAGTACAGGTGTGTGATGATTACGGTGAAGTGGTAAGTACAGGCGTGTGATGATTGCGTTGAATAGATTATTTGTGGTAAGTACAGGCGTGTGATGATTACGGTGAATAGATTATTTGTGGTAAATCCAGGCGTGTTATGATTGCGGTGAATATATTATTTGTGGTAAGTACAGGTGTGTGATGATTACGGTGAATAGATTATTTGTGGTAAGTACAGGTGTGTGATGATTACGGTGAATAGATTATTTGTGGTAAGTACAGGTGTGTGATGATTACGGTGAATAGATTATTTGTGGTAAGTACAGGTGTGTGATGATTACGGTGAATAGATTATTTGTGGTAAGTACAGGTATGTGATGATCACGTTGAACAGTTTATTTGTGGTAAGTACGGTGAATAAATTATTTGTGGTAAGTACAGGCGTGTGATGATTACAGTGAATAGATTATTTGTGGTAAGTACAGGTGTGTGATGATTACGGTGAACAGTTTATTTGTGGTAAGTCCAGGCGTGTGATGATTGCGGTGAATATATTATTTGTGGTAAGTACATGTGTGTGATGATTACGGTGAACAGTTTATTTGTGGTAAGTCCAGGCGTGTGATGATTGCGGTGAATATATTATTTGTGGTAAGTACAGGTATGTGATGATCACGTTGAACAGTTTATTTGTGGTAAGTACGGTGAATAAATTATTTGTGGTAAGTACAGGCGTGTGATGATTACAGTGAATAGAGTATATGTGGTAGTTTGGGCATTGCTTTGTTGTTGCTTGGTTGATCGCCTCGTTAACAGCCAGAGGTATTTCACTCGGGGTTTCCTTATTGCTGTCATGTATCTATCTGAACACCATACGAGAGACCCGTCACAAGCAGTCCAGTGCAATAAGGTAGAAGTGTCTTGCCTAAAGACACGGTCGATCGGTTCTTTGTATTATTCTCAGTAAATAATGAAGAACCTTGGTCTAAAATCTTTTAAGGATATACACAATATAGATCGATATATTTATGACGGTTATAATTAAGCCGATATATCGATTTCTTGCACAATATGTAATTACCTTACTCTGTGGTATATATTTACTGATACACAGTTCAAATTCGTTTCGTGTTTCATACACCAACACTGCTCCATGTTTTGTAACCAAACCAATCAAAATTATATCGCGAATAGTTGTCACTAGATTGAAATAATTTCCGGTCTCCATGTTCACATTGTTGTATTTAAATAAAATACGTCATTTGACACACAATCACCGTGTTTAGTATGACTTTCCCCATTTGAAACCTTTGTTCAAACTTGTCTTGGTTTTCGAGTTTGTAAGAAATCCAACATGGCCGTGAACGACATTCAGAAAAATACATTTTAAACTTCTTATCAAGATGAAAAATGACGGAAATATCAATAAAATAAAGCCAACATTTTTTATTTGGGCTCCTAAAAACTCCGACATCGCAGCCATGGTGGCCATTTTAAACCACGGTTTCCTGAAAGCGTGGGGTTCAGCTCAAGTTTGCCTAAAATGAAAATGAGATGGTTTGAACCAAATATTTTCATTTATCCAGGTCAGTCTAAAATCCAATAAGGCTGCCATTTAAAAAAATACATTTTGAATATCTCCAATTCCACGTGTGTCGTTATGCTGAAATTAGTCGAGCATTTTTAGAAATTGAACAGACGAAATCGTTGTGTCAGTTTCCTTGACTGCTGAAATTCGGAATGGTTTAAATCCTCTGATATTCACAGTACCACCTCTGTCAGTTGACCGTTAATGCACACTGGCCCCTTATCGATCAATGCTATCTTTGATATGATGACTCTCATTACCAAAATAAAATAAAAACAGAATATGAGCCATTTTTGGTTCAACATACACTGACTTCTAACTTATTAGATTGAACTATTTAGTCAAGAAAGATAAACGAATGGTGTTATATTTCAGGTGCTTGGAGTGATGGTTCTCTGTATCGGCTGTATACTGATCACTGGTGGAAATCTCACCGGTGGCTACTTGGTGGCGCTGTTCAGTGCACTTCCGGAAGTGTCGGGATCCATAGGATCATTTTTCACCTATGTTGCAGCAACTATAATCATTGTGGGAGCGGCCATATTTGTTTTAGGAACATTGGGATGTTGTGGAGCATGCAATATTAACCCGCGTCTTCTGTACACGGTCAGTTTAACATATGTTTGAGAGAGAGAGGGGGGGGGAGGGGGAGAGAGAGGGGATGGGGGTGGGGTGGGGGTGGGGGAGGGGGAGAGAGAGAGAGAGAGAGAGAGAGAGAGAGAGAGAGAGAGAGAGAGGGGGGGCAGAGAGAAAGAGACAGACAGACAGATAACACATAATGATATGGAATCTATGTTACTATACAGGTCATTTGATAAAAAAAAACTCTTTGAAGTCCATAACACTACCATCCTTAATGTTTTAGGATCGCTGAGTATAGCATTGATTGATAGAACCAAACAGCTGTCTATTCACACCAGACCCAAAACAAATGACTGCTGCCCAGAGTATGTATACTCAAGATAGCAAGCTATTAATATTTTCTAATCATACATATGTCATGTATTTATTTATTTATTTATTTATTTAACGGGTTTCATGTCCACTATTACGGCCTTTCGGCCTTTCAGGGGACGAGAAACGTAGGAAAATGAATAGGGAAGGAATAATATGATGCACTGTAAGAGAATGGGATTCGTATGTATACTTAAGTGACGAGTGTATCTTTACAGTCTTGGCACCTTACCGAAAACACAAACCTATCTATTATAAAACCCACACGGATTAATATTCACAGTAATCTCATCTCAACATACAGTGTAATTTTCTACAATAAGGGTAAATGTGTTTCTACTGTTGTCGTTTAGGTCATTACGTCAGATGATGATAAACATCGTGACCTTCTGTTGTTGTATGTCCCTTTGTTTTGTTGTCTCTTTTTCAGTTTGTCTCTTTCCCGTTCTTTCGGCAGTCCATTTTGCTCCTTTGTGTAATCGTATTTATGGTTCCTGTTCCGCTGTTGTCGTTCAAATTGACGAAGTGTCTCCTTAGATTCCTGTTTCAATCGTTCAGTTTGTTTTTGTGTCTCCTCAGATTCCTGTTTCAGTCGTTCAGTTTGTTTTTGTGTCTCCTCAGAGTCCTATTTCAGTCGTTCAGTTTGTTTTTGTGTCTCCTCAGAGTCCTATTTCAATCGTTAAGTTTATTTTTGTGTCTCCTCAGAGTCCTATTTCAATCGTTAAGTTTATTTTTGTGTCTCCTCAGAGTCCTATTTCAGTCGTTAAGTTTGTTTTTGTGTCTCCACAGATTCCTCGTTCAGTTTGTTTTTGTGTCTCCTCAGAGTCCTATTTCAATCGTTCAGTTTGTTTTTGTGTCTCCTCAGAGTCCTATTTCAGTCGTTCAGTTTGTTTTTGTGTCTCCTCAGAGTCCTGTTTCAGTCGTTCAGTTTGTTTTTGTGTCTCCTCAGAGTCCTGTATCAGTCGTTCAGTTTGTTTTTGTGTCTCCACAGATTCCTGTTTCAGTCGTTCAGTTTGTTTTTGTGTCTCCACAGATTCCTGTTTCAGTCGTTCAGTTTGTTTTTGTGTCTCCTCAGAGTCCTATTTCAATCGTTAAGTTTATTTTTGTGTCTCCTCAGAGTCCTATTTCAATCGTTAAGTTTATTTTTGTGTCTCTTCAGATTCCTGCTTCAGGCGTACAGTTTGTTGTGGTGTCCCTTTGGTTTCACATTATTTCTGTAATTGAAGCTATACGGAGCTAAAATAATTCTCTGTCGTTCTTAACTAGTAAGGAATAAGCATTTAGAAATTAAAACGTGCTCTTTACGAAGTTAATGTACTTTCTAAAATTCGAAATAACAAACCGTCCACCAATAATTCTTTAGAATATTGAGATGTAAAATATCATCTTTACCAGCCAAAACAAAGAACTGTTGACCAGTGACCTATCGACAGGAAGTGTATCTAGTATTTTATACTTAAAAAGTATTACTATTTGTAGTCAGATACTGTGGACCAGGAATTATAACAAACATGTGCTCTTCGACTCCATTCATAATTTTATCGATCTTTAACATGTCTCAAGCTGATCGCTCAATGATCTAAACTATAAATTTCCATTGCAAACAATTAAATCTGAATATATAAAGAACTAACATTAATTTTGTACAATGGAAAAATGGCTGATAATTGCATTTCATTCGAAAAAAATCGTTATACGTTATACTAATTTGCCGTTTTCTTTGAAGGCTTCAGATATTACCTGCGGCGTTTCGTTTTATCATCGTACAAAGATTATAATGTTTTATAGTGTCTAGTTTGGTGGGGAGAATGTCTTTTTTTCATGTATTTCGTAAAAAAATATTGTTTTGCTGACAATAGACTTCACCATTGATAACGCAAGACAAAAAACATCTACCTGTCTAACTTGAAGACTTCTGACGAGTATTCTATGACCTCGAACGGGTGACCTTGACCTCTGACCGAGATCTCTTCTCACTACTACTTCCGGTGTCGTGTCCATCAAATAAGATGTGTACTCGGATGTTATACGAATGTTTATCGAGGAAAACAGGAAAACTTTTTTTTTTGTTTTTTTATTTCTTGTTTTTTTTCAATTTGTTATGTTTTCTTTTTTATATTTTGTTTTTTTGTTTTTTTTGTTTTTGTTTTTTGTTTTTTTTTTCATTGTTTTGTTTTAATTTTCTTCACGCGTGCATTGTAAACATTTGAAATCTATTGTTAAATTGTAAACAGGAAATCAAAACCCACTAAAAACATGGAAATTTCTTAACAGTTTTATTCACTTCCGACGTAAAAACATACGTTAGGTCTGTAAGTATCTTTTATCTATATAATTTTGTTACGCATGAAAGGGTTTCATGTTTCAGTATACATATAAAAGGATTCAGGCGAAAGTGTTTGGTATAGATCTACATGGTTTGGGCTTCAGTCAAATTTAAATTTAATGCTACACCACCCATTATAACAGAGAACATATAAATATTCTGGGGTAAATGTAGATAGGTATCTGAATAACATATAGGTAAGTGGTTATCGACTACAAACATCAAAATTGATCACGCTGTCGCTTGGCACATCAACACGATATTGATTCAAATGTAGACATACTTTTTAGTGCTATTATGGGAAACGGGTACGATATATCTAACACTGTATCGGGGTTTTACATTCACTACCTATAATTCGAAAGTAGTTCATATACCTGATCACCCTGGTTCTTCATGGGGTGATCAACATAGAAAAAATCTTATTCACATGGTTGTTCATAGGGTGATAAATACAGAAAAAAATGATTCACCTGGTTGTTCATGGGGTGAAAAATACAGAAAAAAATGATTCACCTGGTTGTTCATGGGGTGACCAACACAGAAAAATCTGATTCACCTGGTTGTTCATGGGGTGACCAACACAGAAAAATCTGATTCACCTGGTTGTTCATGTGGTGATAAATACAGAAAAAATTGATTCACCTGGTTGTTCATGGGGTGATAAACATAGAAAAAATCTTATTCACCTGGTTGTTCATGTGGTGATAAATACAGAAAAAATTGATTCACCTGGTTGTTCATGGGGTGACCAACACAGAAAAATCTGATTCACCTGGTTGTTCATGGGGTGATAAACATAGAAAAATCTGATTCACCTGGTTGTTCATGGGGTGATAAACATAGAAAAATCTGATTCACCTGGTTGTTCATGTGGTGATAAATACAGAAAAAATTGATTCACCTGGTTGTTCATGTGGTGATAAATACAGAAAAAATTGATTCACCTGGTTGTTCATGGGGTGATCAACACAGAAAACTCTGATTCACCTGGTTGTTCATGGGGTGATAACCACAGAAAAATTTGATTCACCTGGAAGGGGTGATCATGGGGTTTTCAACACAGAAAAATCTGATTCACCTGGTTGTTCATGGGGTGATAAACATAGAAAAATCTGATTCACCTGGTTGTTCATGTGGTGATAAATACAGAAAAAATTGATTCACCTGGTTGTTCATGGGGTGATCAAAACAGAAAACTCTGATTCACCTGGTTGTTCATGGGGTGATAAACATAGAAAAATATGATTCACCTGGTTGTTCATGGGGTGATCAACACAGAAGAATCTGATTCACCTGGCTGTTCATGGGGTGGTAAATACAGAAAAATCTGATTCACCTGGCTGTTTATAGGGTGATTAACACAGAAAAAATCTTATTACTCTGGCGAGATTATATTTGCGAACTCATAATCATGTCACATTTTAATTGACACGTACTTCCTGAAATCGGATTCAGAATAAACATTGTATTGTCTTTGTTTTAATGATTAACTGCAGTTCAAATATTTCACGCGTCGCTGGTTTTGCACGAACGATCTGTTATGGTTGTATAATTATATATGTTGGATGTCGTTTTTAAAAATTGTGTTTCATGCCAAATCTTGTGTTTATGAACATCCGGAATCACCATTTTATTAACACAAGTTTTGTTCCTGTAGTATTACAATACTTGTATATAGTTCCTCGCTAAACAATTATTAGATGAGTACGTGTGAAGAATCAATTCGTATTTATATATATATACCGGTGCGACCTTCATATGTGCGAAATATACTGAACGCGTGGACCACGCTGTATAATGTTGGTGACCTATACATACATTTTTCAGCATGCGAGGACCACGTGGTATAATTTTGGTGACCTATATATACATTTTACATTACACTAGAGCCACGTGGTGTAATGTTGGTGACCTATATATACATTTTTCAGCACGCGGGGAACCACGTGGTATAATGTTGGTGACCTATATACACATTTTACATTACACTAGAGCCACGTGGTGTAATGTTGGTGACCTATATATACATTTTTCAGCACGCGGGGAACCACGTGGTATAATGTTGGTGACCTATATATACATTTTACATTACACTAGAGCCACGTGGTGTAATAATGGTGACCTATATATACATTTTTCAGCACGCGGGGAATCACGTGGTGTAATGTTGGTGACCTATATATGTATTTTACTGCACGCGGGGACCACGTAGTATAAATTTGGTGACCTATATAAACATTATACATTACGCGAGGACCACGTGGTGTGATGACCTATATGTACTTAATATCTTTTTTCCTTTACACGGGGTATTACCTATATATTATTTATTTAATGTGTGGATCACGTTGGTATTATGTTGGTGATGTATATATATGAATGTCTGATTTTTCGGAAGACGGAGATCACGTGGTATATTGTTGATAATGTCTGTTTTCAGTATGCGGGGATAATGTTGTTTCTGCTACTGGCGAAGATGACCGCTATTATCGTGTGTACGACTATGGACACTTGGGTGAGTAGGCCAATCTTTTAGGTGAAACAAAATTACGCACTTAGTCAAATCCTCCAGATTTCCTAGTCACCTGTCTCTAATGATAATCGGAACGGTTTTTTAAGAACTGAGAATGATTTTTAGTCGATTACGAAAGACAAGTAAAAACTAAATCGCTCTCGGGACAGCTGTAAGTAAATAAACCTTCACATTTCCCGGCAACCTTGGTGATACATTGTTCGTTATACATAAACATTCTATACACAGTTAATCAACTTCAAGCTATCAAATTCACCTGTCAATTTTGGTATTCTTGGAAGGATTTAGACAGGCACAAAATATAAAATAGGAGAAAGGATTGAGAAAAATATCATGAAAGTTCAATACTTCAAGGAATTTCTCTTGTCAATTTTGCAAGCTCATAATAAATCAAGGGTTTACGATAAACAACACAACGTGATTTTCTTGAATAATGAAAGAAACATCGGTAGATCGGTGATATATGCAGAACGCTTTGTATAATGTTTAGGTAGTCACGTGGTCCATACTTTTGTTTTCTGTAACAATATATATGAATAATAAAAAACCTTTAAATACTCAGCATAGGTTTTTTTCACCGCATGAATCCGAGAAAACAAAGGAGAGCTAGATAGAAAGGATTGTTCGCTTGTATCTATATGACATTGTTTGAGCAAAATTACTCTCTGTACGCGCTGGTGCACACGGATACATCACGAACGGTTTCCGTGAGCTGTAAAGTATAATTACGGTATCTTTGTCCGCTTTAGACGGACGCTTTAAAAGCTTAAAATATACCGGAAACATAACCAATTGAAGAAAAAAAATTCGACGTCTGTATGATCAATATGTTAGGGTGGTCGTTCATAGTGATTCGCTGATTTCAGGAGTAAAGATATATATGACATCCAATACTGATATTATTGAAATAATATCCGTCCCTGACGACGCCCAAAAAGCGTTCGATAGTGACCCCGTCATTCACTGATACCATCTATTTATGACTGTCTGTTGCGACAACGTAACAGCTTAAAACCGTCAAAAAGTTTTCATGTTGAAGATCGGCAAGCCCGTTGTCAGGATAATAAAACCAGGTGGATAATGGCATTCCAGTGTGATAGCACTATAAATATCTCTGTCAGTGGCCCCTCAATCCGTTGACACCGTCTTCATATGACCTTGGCTAATACGAAGAAGTAACGACATCAATATTTAAATGCTCAGTACCGGTCATCTCGTTGTCGGTATGATGTGACCGAAGGATTATGACATTTCAGTGTGATTGCATAAGAAAACCTTCAGTCATTGACACAACAGTCCATGGACACCGTTTTAATGTGCCCAAGGCGAGGGCGCTGATTCTCAAACAGACATACATGGAAAACTGTTTGTAAAATATTGCGGTCTGTTTATTTGCTAGGGGTTATAATATATTTGTTCTGAATGAACTCGATTCAGCAAAATAATAAGCTATGTCTTTGTCACCTTTCAGGTGAGGTACATATAGTTTCAACGGAGTGATTTACATTAATATCTTGTGTATGAACGCACTTTCAAGACACGTCCGACATTTTGACTGATGACTCCTTCCAATATGCTAATTTAATTAGTGTTTTTAAGCTTCGATCAGTTTATAAGTGTGGGATTGAATCGATTGAAAATGTCTCCTATGAATTAATTGCATAGAAATCATTTGTGATATTTGTGTATATCGTATTGGTTGAACACAATGCAGCTCAAATCGATACATATCTTTGTGTACAATAACGTCCTTACATGGCATTGGTTAGACTGTAAATGTCATTGACCGACTGACAATTACGACGCATTTTGAATTTTCGTCGAATATGACACTACAGTGCTAGTGTATTAAACACAAATTTATGAATGGAACTGACTTGTTTTTGTATTTATATCCGATATAAATGACACTGTATCTACAGAAACAAAAAGAAAATACCAAAATATTAAATTCATTAAATCACAAAATCAAAAACAAAATAGTATTAACATGATATTTACTGGGAAGCATCTTGAATGTACAAGTATCGAAACCAGGTGTTCGGCAGGAAAAGCGTCTTCTGTTTTATCGACGGCACCAGCAGTTTAATGTCGGACAAACCATTGTATGTAATGACAGGTTCTCAGAGGAGAATTTTTACAGCATCGAAATATCAACAAGCATCCAACACATATAATTTCATTCCATATAAGGAAATATGCAATTTCCCAATGACATAACGTTGGTGACAATAAAACATTCCAGTCTTCATCAAATTGCCTTTCTCGCGACCCTGTGTGTAAGTTTATACGTCAGCTGTCAACAAGATATTAATATCGATAACAGAACCGTTAAACATCAGATCAACTACAAACGTAGGTTCTTACTATCTACAACACTAAAATTTCAATAAGGGAAACGAAATCACCCGTTTATCGTACTGCTTTTGTGAAAAACTGACTGCGCTTTGTTTTGCATTCAGATACAAAATGTGACATTATTGGAAACCTTTTTTTCCTCAAAACCACAGCTGTCACTTTCTGAATGTACTTTTCCTCAGGTAGATGACCGACTGAAAGAAGCTTTTCAAACAACTATAAACAACGAATATGGTGGCCCTGACGTCACAGATAGCATCTCCAATGCTTGGAACTATGCTTTTGTAACGGTATGTCAGCATTCCGACATTAATCATCATTAAAAAAAAACCAACATTTCGTATTCCCTTTTTGTTTGCCAATAAATAAAACTCATATTTTTTTTATAAATAAAACTTATTTTATTTCATATCAAAAGCATATAAAATCAAAAGGTAAAGACATCCGGGACATCCATTCCTTAAAAAACAAAACAAAACTTGATCTTGTAACATGTTTTTCTACACACCGTGACAACATAATGATATTTTTTCAGTATAAATGTTGTGGCATTACTAATTATACTGACCTTCACCTGGCTGTGAAATGGAATAGAACCGGAAGTAGTGACGTCATACCAGTCACGTGTTGTGTATTACCAGGAAGTTATCCTAATTATGGAAACCCTGCGGATGCGGCTTGCACAACGACGCCGACAGAATCAAACGCCAATATCTCTAAGGTACAGACTGCAATATACCGAACTTGGTCGTGACTTGATTGTCACTTTTTTATATTATACTTATGATGAAGTTAGCAGCTAAAAAAAACTGTAAAAAGGGATTTTAAGAGCAAAACTTGGACCCAAAAAATAGCAAGCTTGCCTGTTAAAAAACTGCATCTGTGAAAAGATAGAGAATTTGTTTCTTGAATAAGGTGGTTTGAAAATTTTTCTAACAAATGGGTAGTTCTAACCTCGCTTTGAGCGTTTATGATCATGTGGCGTGCACGTGACGTCTAACAGACAAAATTACACCAAAAAGACCGCCTCCATTAGTAATGGTACAGAATAGACATCGATGCTATTCTTTATTACTAAATGATTCGCAAGACTTTTTCTGCGTCGATCACAAAATTCTATCTTATCCGTACATAGGCCTGATAAAGGCACTGTGATATGTTTTTTCCGTTTAAGCATTATTCTTCAGTATGTTTACCGTTTGTCGTTTGTTATCGTATCCAGCATTCTTTGCTGTAACGTACTTTTGAATCTCTTTAGGGTTGTTACGACAAGATAAAGTCCTTCCTTGAAACATACGTCGCCTATGTAATAGGCATAGGCAGCGCCATCTTGTTCCTTGAGGTAAGTCAAGGGGCATAACTCTTACAATCATATAAACATTTTTGGCACTTTTGTTGCGTTCAAAATCATGAAAATGCGTTTTACAGTTGTTCGTACGGCATTTTTTGCTTTGTTTTATATCATTTTTTCCATTAAATTAGTTTTCACGTTGTGTATATTGTAAATTCTTTTCACTTTAGAAAAAATAGTTCCTTTCCAAGATGTAATGAGATACTGCAAGGACCGGTCTATACACAATATGCGAAGCGTCATCGACTTTCTGATTTTTGACTCCTTATTCTATTTTCCTGATCCTTCCACTTTTCAAATACTCTGTAAATATATTATGTACTGATTATGATGAGGTAATTAGTAATTTTGCACGTTTATACGTGTGTTATAGAGAGGATGTCGACATTGTGTGATAAAGTGCGTCCGATCCTTTGTTGTAATATCTATGAAATAAAATTTGTTGAAATTTAAATTGAATGACAAAATGTTTTTAAATTAAGGGCTCCCAACAAAAAGGCATTACTTACTCTCATATATTGATATAAATTTGAACCAATATTTTATTTCAAGATTAGTCCCTTGGACCACTAGAAGGACTATCTGCTTGTTTTTAATCAGTTTACCTTATTCTACTATACCATTTCACTATACTGTATTGTATCCCGGACAATGTATAGGCGTTAAAATTTGCCAGAGTAATTTAAGGAGATTTTGTTTACAAGTGTTAATTATAGTCACATAAACTGTTCTTGTTTCCGCTATATTGTAATTAATGCTACAAACTATTGACCGTTCCAGTTGATGACAGTGATATCAGCATTCCTACTTTCACGACAGCGAAAAAAGACGGGACCGCTACCTGCAGAAAAGGACGTCGACTTCCGGTAAAAACTGCGCGCTTCGCTGAGCACTCCACACGCGGGCTTCAGTGCGAGTAGCCATAAAGTTTGGACGATATTTTGATATAAAACCCTCATTTGTATTCGTAAACAATGCACCAAACCGAGGCCAATGTTGGTCATACTGATTAGTGGAAAACAGACATAAGTTTCAAACGTTCGGAGGACTTCTCCGATAAACTTAGTAGCCATTTTATTCCGGGGTAGTTTGTTGTAAAGACGTTAAAGAAAAGAGCAAAAGACAAGTATTTCAATATCTACACAGAGCTGATTGGTTTCCCACGAAGATAAGCCCACGTCACAACGTGTAGATACATTTGGTCGTGACCTTGAACTCTGGTTTTGTAGAGTCACTTTGTATGAAGTTGTGTCTAGCTTTTTTCAATTTCGATTTTCTAAATCTTGGTTGTGTTTTTTATCAAGATTTCGCCGATCAGTCCAGAGTTGAATTTATATTGATATGTGTACCTGCATCCTGTCAGTGAGACATAGTAAAAGAGATGATGAGTTTGTTGATAATGCGGTTTTTATTTCTGAAACGTGCCATTATTTAGAATCTCTCAGTATTTACTTGAAAGACGTCCATCAGTGAAACAGAATTCGCTTAATCTTCCGGAACACATGGTCTGTACATTATCAAAGGTATCCGTGAATATCGTTTCTGCGTTAAAATTGCACAATTTGATTGCCTATTCAGAATCATACACATTCAATATAAAGAATTCAGAGATTCACATCTGATATTCAGGAGTCTATATTTCATACTTTTTATCAAACTAGTCCTAGACGTTGGTTTTTTTGCGAGCAGTGGTCCCGTGATTGCTGAATGCAACTTTGGGCCCCTTGCAACACTGACGAGTCGACGAAGGACGAAACAGCTGTATAACTTTTTTTCCGCGGTAGGACATTTAAAGAAGATAGGATGTCAACAATTGAGCAGTTGTCTGGATTTCAAATTCATCTGGGTTTTTTAATCACTGTTTCGTTACACACACTTTTAGTACATATGTATATGCAAGTTTTCAAAGCGAGTTCATTTGAAACTGAGCTTCTTTGGAAATTCGACAACGAAGTGGTGACTTTCCCGAAATTGTAACGCGTGCTTTGTTTATGATGATATTTATGACCACTGTAATATAAGGTCACATACTTAGCCATTTGAGTGCTAAACAATAGTATTTTTTAAAAACTAATTAATTTATTAAATCCTATTATGATTGTTATGTTCCTCCGCTGAAAACTACTTTCACTTAAGAACCAATATTTTGATATAAAATATGTATTTAAGATTGAAAATGTTTTGAAAATGTTAAATGTCATACGCACAAATGTGAAAACAGCGCGTTTGAAATGGGAGCAAGGAAACTTATAGTTAAATATCCATAATATCGCCTAGAGGTCCTCATTATTAGACATCATATACATTTCGAAGTTGGTCGTAGCTTTGGCATAGATAAGGACGTCAATGTCCGCCTCTCCAGACCCTGTACACGACAGTCTACACGCTAAGGGAGATAACTCTGGTATTACTGAGGGGTTATCGCCTTGCCTTGTAATAGTGCCTTATGACAGAATGTGGCTTAAGTTTTTTTTTTTTTTTTTTTTTTTTAAATCTGATTGATTGCTAGTCAAATTTAACTTTCTAGTGTAGAATTTATCAATATTGTTGATAATAGCAAAATGTTTTCTGTCACAAATATCAAACAGTTTTGGTACTTATCCTAAAGCTGTTTGAAAGAACATTTCTATGGTTCAAAAGTTCGATATATCACAAAAAAAAAAAAGACATGCATCATATATGACTTTTAATAATCCAGAATATGTATTGAGCACTCAGAAGACATTCTACCATGTCTCCACCACTAGCCACGAGTATATTGTAGCTCATATACTACATTCATTATCACCACAGATACTGATAGGTCGGGTTTTGGCAAGTAATAGCTGCAATGCAAATTGATATGAATAATTAAATGAAAGGACACTCGCAACTTAACTTACTTTAAAAAGAATATATCGAAATGAAATTTGAAAAAGAATATTTTGATACCAGTTGCTGAGATTGAACGTGCAACTCCATGAATTACAACTTAAGTATGGAGTATGGTCTTACGGTCTCTGCTTAAGTCACTGATACACGAATTATCTACATTTTAAACGCAAGTTCAAGATGGAAAATGGACGCTTTTGGTCCAAGTTCATTTTTTTCTATTATCAGGATCAGTTGCCTAAAAGTCAAACATGCATTTGAATTTGAGAAAACCGTATTGATTAAGGTAGCGTAATAACACGTGACATATTACCAAGATATTTTTTTCTGATCGTTACTTGAAATTACCTGTCCGAACTAGCTGAAATAGAAAATTATTCAGGTCGAATTAGACGGCTAAACCCCTTACCGCCTTACAATTGAAAGAAAATGGCGTACTACGTTTTAGCTCCGGAAACGACCATTATATACATGTATAATTAACCTTGTTTCCTGATAATATAAAACTCCATTAGATAGCCGGATTGTAGACTCTGCTGGAGGACTTCAGTCACCATGGTTACATATTTGTGATGAGTAACACGGTTGAGAATATACACATGTACTTGACCGATTTATCGAATTTATATACACTGGACCACTTCAAATCTCCAAACTAGCCCTCTGGCTACGGTAAGTCAAAAGTTAGTTACAGTTAACCAGTGTTAATGAAAATATATTTAATACCACTTAACAAACAAGATTGCAAAATTAACAATCAGAATATACCAACATGACCCTCCCAACAAACATACAGCCGTAAAACTTTCAAAAATGTGTCCAATTTTGTTTAATTTATGTTGGGACATTTTCGCTTACAACTCGTCATCTGTACCAGCCTTTAAACAACTGAGGCGTGGACGTAGCTATTTTAGGCAGCTAGGATCACTGCTTAGTCCTAGAGGGACCAACAAACTCTTTATTAAGATCTGTGTGATAATACTGAATTTATTCAAAACGAAATATTGAAAATAATCTGAGCGTAGTCAATTTAATGTTAGACTGCTTTGAGTACTTACACACTTTAAAAGAATTTAAGATTAAACTGAGATTTAATCTTAATTAAAATTTAAGTTTGAATAAAAAGTAAGATGACTCTTTTGGATTTTCTACGTTTTGACAAATTACTAAAACATGAAAAATAACATTGAATTTTAATAAATCATTTGGTTTTTATAATGTATCTGATTCTCAAGCGTTATTAGAATGTGATTAAAGCATCCATATGTGTGTATTGTGCACATTACGTGTTTAAGTGTAGGCCCTAAAATTGGTTTCTACTATAATTTTGTGTTTAAAAAATGCTTGGTACATGTGACCTACATACATTAGTCATTATAATAACATTTTAAAAACTGTTTTACTTTTAACAACTTATAGTTTTATTAAGGGTTAACCTTTTCCTTTTTTTTATATATATATTTGTTTTTTGTTTGTTTGTTTATATATTTTTGGGTTTTTTTTCTTGCTTTTTTTAAATCTCTAATTTTGAATTTTACACAGATCTCATGTCTGTTCACTTTATGCGTGTTTTGGTGTGAATTATACTTCAATGAGAAAGACTAGTGAACGAACGAGCAAATTAACTAGGTGATATATTTTGACACCTATTTTATAAAAGCCCGTTAAATGAGAAACAGAATATCAACTTCTGATAGAAAATATGTGCTAAGGTGCCCAAAAAACTTGAATACGGAGTTTGTAAACAAGGCGGAGGGAGCAGAAATAATACTTTAAAGAAACAGGTAAACTCATAACTGGGAAATGAAAACCATCATATTTATTTGGATTCATGAATGGCGACACCCTTCTATATTGGAGAGACTGGGAGAGTATTTGGGGTTAGACATTTATTGGTTCGTAAACACCAAGCAGGTACGTAAACCAAAGGAGGCTGGTAATCTAGCTGATTGGAACGAACATGCATGTACATATGCAACACTTTAAAAAGTGGTGTGTATAAAGAGCGATATTTTGAAGCGACATGTCAAGGATGTCACCTGGATAAATCGTGCATGACCGTTCCTAAACCGAGATGAGCGGGTCCATAGACTGCTATGAACAGACGTTAATGAAAACAGAGGTGAATTGAACTTCACGTTTTTGAAGTCTACTGCTTAAAGAAAATTAAAACGAATCAACATATCTACATATATTAACTTAATTTAAGTAGTGTTTTAAGAATATCAATGATTTTCTGTATCTAAAACAACTCGTGATTTATTTTCTTTATTTATTCTCGCGTTTTCTTTTATTCATGAATTTTGTTGTAATTGTTTTGTTGTCAAAAAACGAAAGTACGTCGCAATAGATTTCCTTCAACCCGGATCGTTTTAAAATGTATAATTGTGGTTTTACCACGGAAAACTCGTTTCTTTTAGTCATTTCCTCATGTTGTGTTTACGCTGTATATCAAAACCTATCCTCTTTGTCAAGGTGAAAAATAACTGTATATCTTATGAGAATTACCGCTTAATAATGAGGATGGAAATAAAAATATTTCATAATGTAAGGTTTTTTGTTTTAACAGATAACATTCCTGATCAACGTTTTAGGAAAGTTACGTCACAAATAGGTAGAGGTTTAAATTATATAACCTACTGAGAAGACAAGATATCTTATTTAAATTTACCATTTCAGGATTAATTAAAACGCATTTTAAATGTCACACGTAGTTTTGGCGTCACAAGTAATTCATCCGTGACCACGGACAACACGTATTACTCCAGCCGGTTGTACAAATTGGTGGTTATGTAATGCGAGTATATATATACATGTATATTTCTCGAGCTATTCTCATAACGTCACTACAAAAAAATTGTCACAGTGTAGGTAAAATGGACCTATGTTTTTTTTTAAAGCTTCGGAGTTCGAGAGAGTAGGTGGTGATGGTGTGTGTTTAGTCCACATTTGGGGAACGTTACATCCCTCGTTAGCGTGTATACCAGGGTAGATACATA